GGAGGCTAATGGAGAATTCTAAGATGGCCGCGATTTATAGCTCCACCATTACACAGTGCTGGCTGGCTGGCTGCTGATTGGCTAATGCGATCACATGTCATGATTCATGACTCATGAATGCATTATGGGTCAGCACGCCTTGTCTGCGCGCCTTCCCAGAGATCCCCGCCCCATCTTCTCTGTCCATTTTCTCCTGTCGCCACACATGTCGCCGCCATTTTTGGGAAAATTCGATTCGTGCATCCGAAGTTTGCTAATCTTCGGATTCGTCGCGAATAGAATTTTTCCAAATCTTCGGAACGAATTCCACTTCGTCATGTTCGATTCGCTCATCTCTAGTGGTAATGTGATGGGTTTCTTTTGTAACGTTGAAATGAATAAAAAAATATAAAACAAAAAGAAAGAAAAAATGCTGTGGGTTGTATACTGTATAATTATAATTAATCAGCACTACTCACCCGGCACTGTACCTCATATTCCCTAATGATCTCTGCAAATTTCTCTTCCTGTGTATAAAACTCTGTATTGTGAGGACCGGTCAGTTTCTGGAATATAAAAAAGACACAGTATTTATAACTGCAACAAAGGTCAAGATGGGGCTCAGGTGAGTATTAGGGAAGGATGTGGGGGGAGCAGCACACAGAAGGTTTTCTACCTTCATGCATAGAATGCATGAAGGTAAAAAATCTTCAGCCTTTACAACCACATTCAACATGTGATACTGTACTCTGGTTTATTACCTTGTCTTGCAGCACTTGATCTAGGCTTGTTTGCAGTTTTACCAGCTGACTATCTGATTCAGATAGCTTTCCCACCACCTCCACCATTTCCTTTTGTAACCTGCTGTTCTCCTGCAACACAAGACATTGCAGTTATTACTAAATATCCATGTGGTTCGAAGCAATGTAATCTAGGCAATAATTATATTTTTATGAACATGTGCCAAAATGTTTATAGCCATCTTCAAATAAAAACAAGGCCAGTCAGACTGATGGGGATAATTTACTGTACATATCAAGCCAAAAAGTTTCCAATTTTTTTTCAATTTTGGATAGAGTAGGATTGGTCAAAATCCCATCAGGTTATTTTTTTCATCTATGTTTCATTGGGAAGATTTCCCTTTCTGTCTTGTAGGCAACAGAAAATGCCCATTTGCTCAGCTGTAGCAGGCAATCCAAAGAAAGAACAAAAGCAAATAAGGGAAGGGAGCAGTGATTCCTAAATGGACTCTGAGCGGGCTGAACAAAAAAAATATGACAGACTGCTGTACTAACACAAACAATGTTAGTGCAGCGATCTCATCCGCTGTGCTATTGTGTTCTGACTGGGGGACTGCCTCCCCCGCCCCTTGAACACACTGGTCGGCGCCCAAAGCCATTGGCTGCAAATGCAGATCAGATGCCCGTCAGCTGCTGGTTTTCAAGCATGCTCTTTTGACAGAAGCCGCTTGCAGAATTAAGGCAGACACATCGATATTGTAGAACAGAGAGAGAATGTACAGAAGACCAAGTCACAGCCTTAAAAATCTGTGGCATAGTTGCCTGAAAAAAAGCCCAAGAAACACTTGCTGGTCTAGCAGAGTGGGTTTTACAGGGAAGAGGTGGGATTTTATATTGCAATTCATAGGCCTGCACAATGTCCTGTCAAATCAACTTATAAAATGAGTGAAGATGGAGACTGGGAACCTCTTTTAGAACCTTCTGCAATAATAAACAGAGAATATATCTCCCTAAATGTAGTAGTGGCAGAAAAACCCTAACAGCCTTTACCACATCCAATGGAAGGAAATCTTTCTGGTGTTAACCATGGACAGACATAGCGAGGTTAAAAAAAAATAGCCTCATAAAAGGGCAATGTCGGTATCGTGCAAGGCAATGTCTGTATCTCAGAAACCCTTTAGGCTGAAGTGATGACAAGAAAGGTCAAGGTGATGTCACAAACAGGTTCAAATGGAACCCATCCAAGATGGATGCCAGCACATGGAGTAACATAACCTCTGGGAAAAGGGGTCTTTCTCCCAATTTCACAGCCACAGAGTGATTTCAAAACCAGCCCTGGTTCCATTGAAGAGGAATATCCTATCCTGGGAGCTTCCTGACCTGCAGGATTTCGTTTTCCCACAAGAGGGCGTTATCGTCATCCATTTCAGCACATTTCCATTTTCTGACCAGAGGGAGAGAGGGGAATCTCCAGGATTTCTTACACACATGCGTATTTTAAATGCGCTTCTGGTTAGTTTGAATTCTTTCCAATGGCACTGGGAATTAATGAGCACCTTTTCAGGACTATTATTGTGTTGATTTGCATGATTTGATCATTTTACAGCGCTGCATTTTTATATGTATATGTTTTACTGAGGATTTTTATATGCGTTTATCCTGGATGTTCAGCTGCTGTTTCTTTGAGAGCGCTCACTGTGTGTCCTTTACCTATACAGGTTCAAATGGAGGTTTTTGTTGTCTAGCACAGACAATTCTAGATCTAAATATTATTAAAGCCAGAGGTCTAAGAGGGAAAGTAACATGTAACCCTTTGTGTGACGGTTAGAAATTGAGGCTTTCCCTGCCTTTAAGGATAAATCCAGTTTGTGTCTAATATAGGCCTGCTCCATCTGGTAATTAGCCAGATCCGTCTCCAGTTTTTTCTTTTGCTGGTCATTCTGTTGCAGGAATTGCTCCTTCTCATTTTCCAGCTCTGATCGCATAGAAGACAAGCGCTGCCTGTACTCCTGCTCCAAATCCCTAAATAAGAGAAATATATTAAAATGATTATGTTGCAGCTTCACAGTTCTAACATAGCAAAATTTATTTGAGGGACAAAACACAAATACAGGGCACCTAATAATACACAAAGCACAAATTCTTTAAAAGCAAAATATAAAACCCATACACATTCTCATTTATAGGAATGCTGACCTTGAAACAGAATTTTTGCTGAATCAGTAAAATCCATTTGTTGGAATACAGCACAGGACATAGTAGTTTAGTGTTTACTGTATATGCAGCTACCTTCAGCTGATTGGACACTGGCAAAAAAAAGAAAACTACAGGCACATCAACTGCATAACCCATCCAACTCCCAGCTAGCCTCAGTTTTGTAGCAAGTAATAAGGAGATAATAAAGAACAAAGCGTACTGTATTCCAAGAAATGGATTTTACTAGCAAATCATAAATTCTATTTTATTAGTTGTACAGTACAGGACCTTAATCTTTAACCATGGAACATCCAAAAGTACAGCAAGTAAAGGCCAACAAGGCTACATTACAAGGAACAGCTCTTAGCACTAACAAACTAATGCCAAACTTCAGCTAACACTTAACAAGCAGTTACAGCAAGAGTTTTGTTCCTTTTGGGATAAATAATTCACATAAATAAATAAAAGCTGACTATTGTAAGCACCCCTGTCAGTGTTTGATGGTTTGTCTCAACCCTCAAATTGCTACATCTGCAGGAAAACTTGCTCTGCTGAAAACAACCGACTTACTGTCTGGATCACCAGATGAAATAAAGGACAGAAAGCCTAAAAAAGAAAAACTAATGCAGCTATCACATAGAATTGGTTAGCTGCAACATAATAAATATTTGCTTTTGGATTTAATATTGTTTTTACTCCACAAGCCAACATTATATTACAGCTTACCAATTCTTTGATGTTATGCCTGCATTAGTTCTGTTTTTAGGCTTTCTTGCTTTAATTTTCACCTTGTGATCCAGCCAGTAAGTCTGCTGTTTTTCATCAGAACAAGCTGTCCTGCAGATGTAGCAGTCAGAGTTGAGACAAACCACTGGTTTTATTTATTTATTTATGTAAACCCTTTAAGGCTGCATTCACACCTGAGCATTTTGTAGCGTGAAGCTTGAAGCTCCAAAACGCTCAGGGGGAAAAAAAAAAAATCTATATTTCTCAATGCAGATGGTTCACATCTCCACTCCAAATCACCTAAAGCAGAACGCCTGAAGCTCAAAAACCTTTTGGCGTTACTCTTATAGCTCATATTGGGCAGATTTACAAGTTTTTGGTAAGTTTACCTAACAACAAATGATGCAATAGATGATATTGGGCTCAATTCACTAAGCGGTATCTTACCACATGCGAGTATGTGGTAGGATACTGCATAGCATTTAAAAAAAAAAAAATGTTTGAATTCACTAAAAAATGCTACTAAAAATACTGCATGAGTTATTTTTATCAAGTAATGCGGTATTTTAGTAGTGGGTTAATGTTTCAGCTGTCAGTGGGGAATCCCGCTAAAAGAAAGAATTGCTGGCAATTAAAAAAAAAAAAAAAATGCCGTGGGGTCTCCCCAAAATAAAATATACATTTATGAAAATTTGAACTTATCTGTAACTGTTAAGCTTGATCCCAAAGTATTCTATTTCCAAAACAATCGTATAAGTCAATGGAGCAGTCAAATTAGGTAACGAATAGGAAAGGTGGGAGGGGTCAGGACTAGCCTCAACTTATTGGAAAAGGACATAAATTGTACATATGTTTGGTTGCCTATATTACTCAACGTACTGACCCTTTTAGCATGCAGCATTCCATATAGGTCACCTTTGCTTATGTGTTATGCAACATGTTCAATCTGACTGTGACAAATTTACGTTAGGGCATATCTAGACCTACAAACAAAAACTTTTATATTGCGGGTTTCCAAGTCTTTAGATGAGGAGGCTGCATTTATTTTCCTTTTACAGGTTAAAGCCGGTGATAGGCTGTTCGAATCTCGGCCGCTTCAGCAGGAACCAGCTGGGATTTGAACCATTTATGGGCAGGCTGAATGTACCCAAAATGATCGATTGAATGAGTGTAGACGCAAAGGGGCATGAACTGTGTTATTTGCCGTATCACCAGGTGAAAATAAAAGAAAAAAATGCTGCCACCACATCTACATCTACATTACAATTCCTTTTCTTCCATTGTTCCAAATAATTTTGTGATTCACAGGAAGGGTTTGCAGGTAAACAACCAGCGCTAGCCCCTTAGTCCAACTCACTTGATTTTGCTCTCATTAAGACTCTCCATAACAGAATTGTGGTCATCGACCTCATCAACCAGCAGTGAGTTCCTCCTCTCTGCTCTCTCCAGGTCTTGTTTGGCTTTATCTCGCTCTTTACTAATCTGTTCAACTTGGTTACTGCAAACAAAAAACTATACATCACACTCTCAATCAATCAAATAGTATATACATTGTTAGTTGTACTAAAAGGACCCTCTGAAACTTACATGAGAAACTTGACTGATATAAAAGTCATTAATTGTCACAGCTGTGAAACAAGTAATGGCAACACCTTGGAAATCTCCCACATGAAAACTTTTCATTTACAAAAAAATTACTTATCATCCAAGCTAAATGACTGTTTATCTAGATCTGGACAACATATTTCTAAATACGGTACCTACAGTGAAGGAAATGCACATATATACAGTGAAGGAAATAAGTATTTGATCCCCTGCTAATTCTGAATGTTTGCCAACTCACAAAGAAATGATCAGTCTAAAAATCGAATGGTTGGTGTATTGTAACACAGAGACAGAATAGCAACACAAATTTAAAAGAAATGCATGTCTAACAAATTATGCACTGATTTGCATGTTCATGAGAGAAATAAATATTTGATCCCCTATCATTCAGCAGGATTTCTGGCTACCAGGTGTCTTTCATACAGGTAACAAGCTGAGAATAGAAGCAGTCTCTTAAAGGGAGTGCTGCTAATCTCATTTTGTTACCTGTATAAAAGACACCTATCCACAGGAGCAATCAAACAATCAGATTCCAAACTCTCCACCATGGCAAAGACCAAAGAGCTGTCCAAGGATGTCAGGGACAATATTGTAGACCTACACAATGCTGGACTACCAAACTATCGCCAAGCAGCTTGGTGAGAAGGTGACAACAGTTGGTGCAATCATTTGCAAATGGAAGAAACACAAAACAACTGTCAGTCTGCCTAGGTCTTGTGCACCATGCAAGATCTTACCTCGTGGAGTGTCAATGATCATGAGAACAGTGAGGAATCATCTCAGAACTACATGTGAGGATCTAGTCAATGATCTCCAGGCAGCAGGGACACAGTCACCAAGAAAACAACTGGTAACACACTACACCGACAAGGACTGAAATCCTGCAGTGCCCGCAAGGTCCCTCTACTCAAGAAAGCACATGTCCAGACTCGTCTGAAGTCTGCCACTGAACATCTGAATGATGAAGAGAAGGACTGGTTGAAAGTGTTGTGGTCAGATGAGACCAAAATCGAGCTCTCTGGCATCAACTCAACTCGCTGTGTTTGGAGGAGGAATGCTGCCTATGACCCCAAGAACACCATCCCAACTGTCAAACATGGTGGTGGAAACATTCTGCTTTGGGGGTGTTTTTCTGCTAAGGGGACAGGACAACTGCACCGCATCAAAGGGACGATGGACGGGGCAATATACCATCAAATCTTGGGTGAGAACCTTCTTCCCTTAGCCAGGACATTGAAAATGGGTCATGGATGGGTTTTCCAGCATGACAATGACCCAAAATACATGGCCAAGGCAACAAAGGAGTGGCTCAAGAAGAAGCACATTAAAAGGTCCTGGAGTGGCCTAGCTAGTCCCCAGACCTTAATCTGATTGAAAATCTGTGGAGGGAGCTGAAAGTTTGAGTTGCCAATTGTCAGCCACCAAACCTTAATGACTTGGAGAGGATCTGCCAAGAGGAGTGGGCCAAAATCCATCCTGAGATGTGTGCTAACCTTGTGACAAACTATAGGTAACGTCTGATCTTTGTGATTGCCACCAAGTATGAAGTCATGCTTTGTGAAGGCTATCAAATACTTATTTCCCTCATGAACATTCAAGTCAGTTTATAATTTGTTAGACATGCATTTCTTTTGAATTTTGTGTTGCTATTCTGTCTCTCAGTGTTACAATACACCTACCATTCGATTTTTAAACTGATCATTTCTTTGTGAGGGGGCAAACATTCAAAATCAGCCAGGGATCAAATACTTATTTCTTACGCTGTATATAGCAATAACCCCTTAGGAGTCACTAGAGATTTAGGTCCCCCTATAGTCCTGCACAGCCAGGCAACATGTATTTCCCTCTAACCTTGCACTCCAGAGGAGTTCCAAGGAACTGTTTAACTGACGACAACTTCCTGAAGCTATTTACAAGTGCCCAGAAGAGTTCTCTTCTAGGAGAGCTAGCCAGCCTCTCCTGGTGTAGAAATCCCTGGACAAGGAGATCCAGAGTATGACTCTTTAAAAAGCACAGTGCAGCTGGGGCTAGTCAGGTTTCCCACTCAAATATCCTCTCCCCTATTCCTGTCCAGGGGTTGTAGAAGTACTCACTGTCCCATCCCTCCTCTGTAAGCTGCAAGTCGGTAGCTGCTTTCAGACCTCCTGCTGGGCTAGCTCCTTCCTTCACTCCACACATAGTACTCTCTCAGGGGGCCAGCGAAGTTCAGCTTTCCTTCTTTCAGCAACCCTTTTTACCTGGGCCTCCTCCCAGGCTCCACTCTACAGCTCTGCTCTCACATCTTCCACCCAAACCCTCCTGCTGCTGAGCAGGTTCTGTCACATTTAATGGCTGCCCTGCCTCCATGCCAAACCTACCACTCGGGGACTGCCCAGGGTCCCCTGGCTATCTAGAGGGGCGCTATAACTACTTTTGTTAATAATTGATTCCCACGATTCTTTTGGGCATCAGCTGTGGCAACTTATGTGACTTTCTTTAATGAATTCACCCAGAAACATACAAAGTTGAGGTCTGAGAGTGATTCTCTGAGAGGTATGCTGGAGATGACATGAAGCATGCAGGAGAAATTCACATGGAAAGCGGTCATCCAGTTAGAATTTCTACAGGAAAGTATATCTTCAGTCAGCACACAGGCTGCATACACAGCATAAACTATTTATTCTATGTATGCTGGACAACTATTGCATATATTTTTTCATTATGTCCAGAAATCAGTTTAAACAAGTAATTTGCATTTACTTACCGGTCATTTTTTATGTTACTTAAGAGCTTTACACAGTGCCTTGAAACAGTATTCATACCGCTTGAAATTTTCCACATTTTGTCATGTTACAACCAAAAATCTAAATGTATTTTACTGGAATTTTCTGTGATAGACCAGCACAAAGTGGCGCATAATTGTGAAGTGGAAGAAAAATGATAAATGGTTTTCAAATTTTTTTACATATAAATATCGGAAAAGTGTGGCGTACATTTTTATTCCATCCCCTTTACTCTGATACCCCTAACTAGTGGAACCATATGCCTTTGGAAGTCAACTAATTAGTAAATAGAGTTCACCTGTGTGTAATTTAATCTCAGCATAAATACAGCTGTTCTGTGAAGCCCTCAGAGGTTTGTTAGAGAACATTAGTTGAGGAGAAGTTTAAAGCAGGGTTAGGTTATAAAAAATTATCCCAAGCTTTGACCATCTCATGGAGAGCTGTTCAATCCATCTTCCAAAAATGGAAAGAGTATGGCACAACTGCAAACCTACCAAGACATGGCCGCCCACCTAAACTGACAGGCCAGGCAAGGAGAGCATGAATCACAGAAGCAGCCAAGAGGCCCATGGTAACTCTGGAGGAGTTGCAGAGATCCACAGCTTAGCTGGGAGAATCTGTCCACAGGACAACTATTAGTCATGCACTCTGCAAATCTGGCCTTTATGGAGGAGTGGCAAGATGAAAGCCACTGTTGAAAGAAAGCTATAACAAGTCCTGTTTGCAGTTTGCGAGAAGCCATGTAGGGGAGACAGCAAACATGTCAAAGAAGGTGCTGGTCAGATGAGACCAAAATTTAACTTTTTAGCCTAAAAGCAAGGTGCTATGTGTGGCGGAAAACTAACACTGCACATTACCCTGAATACACCATCCCCATTGTGAAACATGGTGGTGGCAGCATCATGTTGTGGAGATGCTTTTTTTCAGCAGTAACAGGGAAGCTGATCAGAGTTGATGGGAAGATGGATGGAGCCAAATACAGGGCAATCTTAGAAGAAAACCGGTTAGAGTCTGCAAAAGACTTGAGACTGGGGCAGAGGTTTGCCTTCCAGCAATGGAATGTTTTAGATCAAAGCATATTCATGTGTTAGAATGGTCCAGTCAAAGTCCGCACCTAAATCCAATTAGGAATCTGTGGCAAGAGTTGAAAATTAAATATAAAAAAAAATGTGCAGCGCTAAAAATATGTGGAAATAATACAAAAACACTATACACAAAACGAATAAAAGTCCATAGAATGTGAATAGCTGGCACCCAGTACAGGAATCAATGAGAATAATGAGGATACTCTTCCCCAATCGTAAGTGGATGATAAACACCACGTGCAGAAACACCAATAGGTGAAAAGTCTTACCAGAAGCCCTGTGACCCTTATAAGAGAAGTCAACAAAAGCTTTGTGAGACTGAAACTACAGCCATCATCAATCAACAGGTGAGAAATGTCAACTCCACCTCTTCACCCATGAATGGGTGGGTAGTAGTAACTTAATGCTCATATATAGGAAAGAAGAGAGGACTCCAATAGTGTAAATCTATTTATAAAAAGGAAGGTATAAAACTAACATGACAGTCTTGTAAAACAGGCAATCTAGATACAGTTCCACCAGGCTTCGCTCACAAACGATCTACTAACGGTGACTTTCACGCCTGACCTTGCAGGATGTAGATTTCCTAGGTTTAAGCATCACAGGAATAACAGACTCAGAGTCAGTTCCAGCAACAATTTCTGAAGGCGCAGATTCCACCCGAACCTCTGCAATGTTTGGACATTTGTTTTCCAACAAAGCCCTTACTAACTTACAGGAGGTCAACTAAGTGTACCACAATGGGGATGCCACAAGAACACAACAGGGCTAATACTGGAGCCAGCAACACCCAAAGTGTAGACTGGCTGAAGAGTCAAGTCACAAACTGGTAGTGTAGGGGCCCTACAGCAAAGTACAGAAATCACTGATGCTCTGGAAACATGGGCACAAGAAAGTAAGCATTTTCGATTTATACAGAAATCAGATGTCTCCCTGGGTGGCGATGACAGATATAGTATATTCCATCCAGAATTTATGGAATCAAATATGAGCTTTGAAATCCAAGAAAAGGTAAAAGTACCCTGTTTGAAGTAACCCTGGAAATGTTCTGGACACAGTGATTATGGCCCGAGAGAGCTTGATGAAGATCTGTCTGTGCAGAAAGGTTGAAAGTGAGAAAGCAAGAAGACGTTAAGGAGTGAAACCTAATTTTGTAGCCATGGGACATATCCTCCAGCACTCAGGCATCTGGAATGAAAGCTGTTCAATTGTCAGACTTTGCTGAGGGATTGGGAGACAAGCCTGGCTCGTCTCTATGTTGAAGTCCAAGGACTGGAGAAATGAAAGGGATGTATACTGACAGTCAAAAGAGAGATATATCTTAGCATTCTGCTGTATAGGCTTCTTCTGCTGAGGAAGATGGGTGCCCTTGCCACCACACTGTCCACATTGTCCCTCAAAGGCCATGCAGATTAAACACTTCAATCACACAAGGTTCCGTATTTCAGAACTGTAACAAATACCCTACACATTTGCACAAACATAAGGTACATGAGAGAGATGGAGACAGGAGGCTTTCAGCAAAAAGTCACAGCTAAAATTAATCACTCCTAACATCTGCTCAAAGCACCAAGTAAAATGTTTAACCACAGCAGCTGGTGGACCTTTTGTGGTATTTAGAGTAACAGAAAGGATCATGTGTGGAGCAGGACCCACCAGCAAGAACAGAGCTCTGGAAAGGGCTTTCAACCCCTTATCAGTTGGTTCCCAAAGACATGCGTATCTCATACAAGTAGTAACACCTGGATCCACAGTGGAAAGAGACCAAGTCTGAACAAACCAATGCGACTCTAACAAGCACCTAATGGGAGCAAACAACTTATCACGGTGCTTCCAATCTCCACCAAGGAAGGGAAAGCAGGTTCAAAGCAAAAAGTATTTGCAGCGTTAGGTGAAAAAAAATTACCCAAGACTGGAAACCATGTAGGCAGAAGCAAAAAGCTGATCCAGTTTTCAGAGAGGTGCATACTGCATCATAAGAGCTGAAATATTCTTTTTTTAATTTTTGAGTAACAGCAGAAGACAGCAGCTCCTTAGGGGTACGTTCATCAGTCAATCACCTAAGACAGGGGTGGGCAACTGTGGCCCTCCAGCTGTTGTAGAACTACAAGTCCCATGAGGCATTGCAAAACTGACACTTACAATCATGACTCCCAAAGGCAGTGGCATGATGGGACTTGTAGTTCACCAACAGCTGGAGGGCCACAGTTGCCCACCCCTAATTTAAGAGTATCTGTGGCCAATGTCTCAGAAGCAGCTAACACTGCGGGTAAATCAGACACAGAATCTGTTGGAGAAGGTGCAGGAGAGTCCATAAATGACTGGGCAATTTAGACCATTCATGACCATGGTACAAAATAGTCCAAAAAGGGCAGATGACCTTACTATACCTCACAGAACCAAGGAAGACTGAATGGGAGAACTCCAAGAGCAGAGGACAGCATGACTCTAGGCTGCAGACATTAGCACCCTCAGTAGGTATGCTGCAAGCAACCCTGAAACCATTAGTAGAAATTGAGCTGGGGGCACCCAGTGCCATGGAACTGTCCCCCCTTCCCCCATGTCTAGAATTTACAAAGCAGGCAGCAGAAGAGAAGTGTTTTTTCACTGCAGTGTGGCAGGAAAGAAAGAGCTCTCTTTACCGCAATACATTCCACTCAACATAACATCAATGCTCAGTCCCACAGCATTAACCATTTCTGAGCCAAAACCTGGTGAGAACAGGGAATAATGGCACCCAGCAACTGATGAATATGAGGTAGCTCCAAGTGCTTGGCCTGACAGGCCACTCTAAGTGAATATCCAGGAACTGGGCAATCCCAGAGGCTCTGGACTTGGAAAATGCTCTGCAGCTAAATTTTACCAAAACTAAGCCAGCAAAGTGCCCAACAGAGAACCCAGTGCCTGAAGGTCACTTCTGGGCCATTCCTGCAACATTCAGTCTAGCGGGGCCCGGATGCGGGAATGCGAAATCCAGGCTGAGGAGGACTGCACTAGGTAGCTGCTGATTGGATGTGAAGGAAGCAGTGTAGAGTCTTCACTGAAGAAAAAAAAAGTGCTAGCAAAATATGTTAGTCTTTACAGCAGTAGAGCTGATAAAAACTTTAAAACATTCATCCTCTTAAGACACTAGCAAAAACAAGTCATGATGTTAGTAGCAGGAGTTATCCTAAGCTGGCCTACAGATTTTGTTTGCCAGGGTTCAGTCCTCTTGAAGTCAGCAACATAACCCAAAAGGTTAAAGATTTCTAGTGTCCCTCAGTTGATGAGATAGAAATATGGTTGCTTCATGGACATGCAAGTATACAAAGAAACATGTTTTTAAAGCATATACATACACCAATAAGATTAGGCTAACAAAACAACATTTAGACATATTACAATAATTAAAAATAATACAATGTATCTTTCAAGTGGGTAATAATGCTTGTGTGGTTTAATTAGAGACTTACACTACCTTTTAATGATCACATATAGTGATATGACTTACTGCTGATGGTGCAGCTCATGCTTGTAGGATGCCAACGCGGCCAAATAAATTCGATTTTTTGTTGCAATCAACTCATTTTCTAAAGCGGCAGTGAGCTCCAAAAGGTTCACTCGCTGCTCTGGGCTGATATCCAAGTTCTAAAGGAAAAGAAAAATTATCTGTAACATTGTCATAGATTTTTCAAAAATATTTTTGGATTAAAAAGAGAAATAAAAATTTATATACACTGCTCAAAAAAATTAAAAGAACACTTGGAAAAACACATCAGATCTCAATGGGGAAAAAATATCATGCTGGATATCTATACTGATATGGACTGGGTAATGTGTTAGGAATGTAAGGATGCTCAGAGACAGTCTGAGGTGCAACCTGGCGGCGTTGGATGGACCGAAACATGATATCCCAGAGGTGTTCTATTGGATTTAGGTCAGGAGAGCATAGGGGTCATTCAATGGTATCAATTTCTTCATCCTCCAGGAACTGCCTGCATACCCTTGCCACATGAGGCCGAGCATTGTGCACCAGGAGGAACCCAGGACCCACTGCACCAGCTTAGGGTCTGACCATGGGTCCAAGGATTTCATTCCGATACCTAATGGCACTCAGGGTGCCATTGTCTAGCCTGTACAGGTCTGCGCATCCTTCCATGGATATGCCTCCCCATCACTGACCCACCACCAAAACGGTCATGCTGAACGATGTAACAGGCAGCATAATGTTCTCTGCGGCTTATCCAGACCTTTTCATGTCTGTCATATGTGCGCAGGGTGAACCTGCTCTCATTTGTGAAAAGCACAGGGCGCCACTGGTGGACCTGCCGATTCTGGTGTTCAATGGCAAATGCCAATCGAGCTCTATGGTGCCGGGTAGTGAGCACAGGGCCCACTAGAAGATGTTGGGCCCTCAGGCCACCCTCATGAAGTCTGTTTCTGTTTGTTTGCTCAGAGACATTCACACCAGTGACATGCTGCGCACACACACATACATGCGCGCACACACACATATACATATATAAGGTATACTGTAACATAAATGACACCCAAAACAATCAGCTGTGAACATTTTTTCCCTTAAATGTATATTTAAAATGACAGCAATGAACATCGCTTACTTACAACCTTAGGTTTTAAAAAAAAAAAAAAAAAGAAGAAAGAAAAAAGGAGATAATTTTGGAAATTTAGAACTTTCCTGTGTCCTGTGCAGACTTCCTGCATTATCCAAAGGGATCTATTTTGCCCTCCTAGTTCTAGAAATGTACTGCATATGCTTTGTTTTACCCTTATATGAACTTTGAAATCAAACAAGGCTTAGTTGTGATATGTACAGAATGAATGGCATGCGATATTGTAGTGATTGGAAATCCATTTTTTTTTTTAAATAACATGTTCTACTTGCATGCTTTGTGCATATGCACAGGGCAGGCCCAATCCTCCTCTTCTTGAGCCTCCCAACTGCGCTCCTGCCAACTTCCCCCTGCTGACTCCCCATTATTGCAAGCCGCTTGCTATGGAGTTACTTGTGCGGGCTTGCTCCTGAGCTGGGTCTGTGTGCACAGACACCAGTGTGTAGCTTGACCTGCCCCTCCGCTTCCTCCTCACTGGCTATGATTGACAGCCATTGGCTCCTGCTGCTGTTTCTGAGACTGTGGGAAGGGAGAGAGCCAAGAGAGTCGTGGCTCTCATGCACAGCGCTGGACTGAGATGGGGCACAGATAAGTATAAGAGGGGGTTGGAGGGGGAAACTGCGCTCAGAAGGTTTTTTTTACCTTCATGCAGAAAAGGCATTAAGGTAAAAAAAACCTTCAGCCTTTAGAACCACTTTAAACTAAAGTAGATACATCTGCTTATCCAGCCATCAGAAAACCAACCTTACAGCATATGCGTTTCTGATCAAAAGTTTTGGATCACCACACTTCTTTCAATAACTACTAAAATTTAAGCAATTCAAGTCCTAGTTCTAATGAATATTATGAAACTGTACAAAGCTAAGCCAATTGGTAAAATAAGTTACCAAAAACTGAAAAATAATGTAAATTTCTGCAAGAAAATTTAGCAGAAGTGTTAGCTAGTTTACTAAATATCCAAAGGCATTTGGAAACTGGAGGAAATTCTGACAGAACAAGTCTGTCAGACCTATAAACAAAGCAGATTTAGAAGACCAGATCTTGAGAGTCAACAGCTTGAAGGCAGCAACAAGAGAACACTGCTCAAGTTCAGTCCACTCTTTATCACACCTCACATACAATCCACTTGGGTGCCAGTTTGTAAGCCTGTACATTTAGCTGAAGAAGAGACATCTAGATGGCTTTGTTTTATCAAGTCAAACAAAGCAGCATGAAACCAACAAAAATTTGTTCTTTTTGATTGCATGCTAATTTTTGTATACAGTGCTGAGAACAATTTGCCCCCTTTCTAATTTTTTATTATTTTGTCACACTTAAATGATTCAGATCAAACAAATTTTAATATTACACAAAGATAACCAAAGTAAATATAAAATACAGTTTAATGATTTCATTTATTAAGGGAAAAAAAACTGTCCAAACCTGCCTGGCCCTATGTGAAAAAGTTTTGCATGAAGGGAAATATAGTTCTTTATACCTGCACGGATGTGACATAGGCAGGGCAGAAAGTGCTCCTCTTGAAGCATGGAAATAGACATATGGAGCTATGGGATGATGACGTCACAGGGAGGTGAAACATGAGGATTACAAGAAAAGTAAGACCTCTTACTTTAAAACCTTATCAGTATTTTTATACAGCCTGAAGAGAAGAACTACATAAGCTAAACTTCCAGAATCCCAGAGCTCTGTTTTAAATTTCACTTGCCATACCCAGGCCTGATTACTGGGAGACCTGTTGAATCAGGAAATTATTATTATTATTATTATAATACAGGATTTACATAGCACGAACAGTTTGCACAGCGCTTTACAAAATGAAGGTAGACATTACAGTTACAATACAATTTGGTACAAGAGGAAAAGAGGGCTCTGCTTATTAGAGCTTACAATCTATTAAATAGAAGCTGTCTGACAAAGTGAAGCACGCTAAAAGATCTAAAAAAGCAACACATCATGCCACAATCTAAGGAAATTCAAGAACAGGTGAGAAACAAAGTAATTGACATGTATCAGTCTGAAAAGGGTTTCCACTTTCCTGTTCCAAGGGGATGGAAGAAAGAATTGAAGCTCCCTGAAATATAGCTGTGCCCACTCCATAGCCGGAATACAGGCTGTCATGAGTCCTAGGACTCTCCTTGATGTGCCCCTGGGAGAAATATTGAACTGATATCAACCTGGAGACAGCCCTATTTTTTGGTTTTCTCTTGGGGCAAAAAGAGCCTATGAACTCTGGAGTCCACTACATATCCCAGGTTTGGGAGGGAGTCAAAGGATTTCTCCTGACTGACAATCCACCCCAAAGATTCCAAGGTGAGGATCACTTCTTCCAGGTCTCTCAGGACAGAGTGACTGGTGCTGTGAGAATCATGCTGTGAGAAATATGCTACTATCTCGGCCATCTTGGTGAATATTCTTAGACTGGCCGCCAGTACAAAAGGGAGGGCTCGGAAGTGCCAATGTCTGACCCCCTATTCCATGAAAATGGTGAACCATAAAAAGGCTTGGTATTCTGGGGCGACTGGAACGTGAAAGTAGGCGTCCCTGATGTTCACAGTGGACATAAAACTCCCTTGAGCAGAAGTTTCCGTACACTGTAAATACTTTCCATAAGGAACTTTTTGAACCGCAGGAAACTGTTCAACCTTCTTAGGTTTATGATCAAGTAAAATTTCCCTGAAAGCTTCGGGACCACGAAGATGTGAGAATAAAATCCACAAAAAACCTGGTCCGTTGGCACAGGGACAATTACCTCCTGATCTGCTAAATCCCTGATCCCTCCCAAAAGACCCTTTGCCTTTGTCTTGTCTCTGAGGGGAATAGGTCAACACAAAGGTATGAGGGGGAAGTGAAGAGAATTCCAACTGCTCCCCTCAAACTGCAGAATGTACAGGGTCTCCAAAATGTCCCCCTACTGTTGGAGGAACTGGGACAGTCTTGCACCCACCATGAGATCTATGTCATTTGGGGTCCTCAAACTAAATCTTTCCAAAATTGAGCTCATATTCTTCCCTCCAGCCTGTGCCCCCTCCCCTGACTTCTCCATCAAGATCAATAATACAAGGATCAGTCCCTCCCCTCATGTCAGGGTACTAGGTGTAATCCTAGACTCCCATCTGTCCTTTCAGCCCCAAATCCAAACACGGTCCAAATCTTGGAGACTTCACCTCCGCAACATCTCCAAGATATGCCCGTTCTTAACCTCTGAAACCACTAAGCAACTTATTCACTCCCTTGTTATCTCTCGCCTTGACTATTGTAACTGCCTCCTCATTGGCCTACCTAATCGCAGACTCTTCCCTCTTCAGTCTATCATGAATGCTGCTGCCAGACTCATCCACCTTACTAACCGTTCCATATCTGCAATCCCTCTCTGCCAATCCCTCCACTGGCTTCCCATTGCCCAATGAATAAAATTCAAAACATTAATAATAACATATAAAGCCATTTATAACTCTGCCCCAAATTACATCATCAATTTTGTTTCCAAATATCACCCAAACCGTCCTCTCTGCTCCTCCCATGACCCATTTGCTCTCTAGCTCCGTTGTCTCCTCCTCCCATGCTCATCTCCAGGACTTCAGGCCTCCCCCATCCTCTGGAACTCTCTACCCCAATCTATCCATCTATCGCCCACTCTGCCCACTTTAGGTGATCTTTTCTCTTCAGGGAAGCCTATCCCAACTTCAGCTAATAATGGAATCTTCTATTCCTCATATCAGTTCATCCCCCACAGTTGTTACCTTTTGTACCACCAGCCCCTCCCTTAGATTGTAAGCTCCAAGGAGCAGGGCCCTCCTAACCCTCTTGTATTGAGCTGTATCATTGCTGTAGTGTCTCCCTTTATATTGTAAAGCGCTGAGCAAACTGTTGACGCTATATAAATTCTGTAATAATACTGGTGGGTTTGGTGCCGGAAAAAACGGGAACTCCCTGTCTCCCTTTGTTGGCCCTGATTAAGGGGGGCTCGAAAAAAACTTACCATTATCCTTTTTGGCCTTGACAGGGAACTTTTTC